GGTGTCGAATAATTTGGTGTCGAATCGTACGGTGTCGAATAATTTCGTGTCGAATCGTACGGTGTCGAATAAATCTGTGTCCAATAATTTGGTGTCGAATCGATCGGTGTCGAATCGTACTGTGGTCAAACGGAACACGCCCCGCGTAAGTGCAGTTATAATGGGTTTACATTTTGGAATGTTTGAGTTTGACTTTGAAAGTAAATTTCTCTTTATGCCTGCTATACTTTCTTTGGTTTCTATAAAAATCATTCTTTTTAGTTTACTTACTTTTGAAATTGTCGCACTAATTTTTGCATATAAAAAAGAAACTTAGTAATAGTAATTATCTGGGTGTTATTATTTGCCTGTGGCTTTTAAAAAAGAATTTACGCTTTAAATATTATTATTTAAATACTACTACTTTAAAAGTATGCATCGCTTTATTTGGGTCAAAGTATAATAAAATTATTTATTAAAGAATGTAATACATGGGTTTCAGGAAGTTTAAAGAGAGAAAAAATGTATTATATATATGTATGCATATATATATATATATATATGTACACATATACAAACATTAATATATGTATATTGCTTGCTTCATAACTAATATATTAATATATATTTTATTTAGTAAGGAATATTTTTGTGAATTTTGAATATTTTTGACTTTTTATAGCATGTGCACATGAGAAAAAAAATATTTTATAAATTAATTTATTGATAGTAATGTTTTATATTATATATAGACAACGTTACAATGCGAAGCAGAAGGCATTTGCCTTAACACTTTACAAGACAATGGGAAAGCATGCATATAATTCGTTACGATCAATTTTTAAAGAAATACCGAGCGTTCAAACTCTGCAGTCGGTTTTGCATAATATACCTTTGTTCCCGGGATTGAATTCTTTCATTCTGAGACAGTTGGAATGCATAGCTTCAAACATGTCAGTGAAGGAGAAAATGTGTATTCTTATTTGGGACGAAATATCGATACAATCTAAACTTACTTATGATATTCGAAAGGATGTCATCTGTGGGTTTGAAGATTGGGGCAATAATCGAACGCAAAAAATTGCGGATCATGTATTAGTTTTTATGTTAAGGGAATTAAATTCGGGCGAGAAAATACCTATATCCTAATTTTTGTAATAAAGTAACTAATACCGCGCAATTAATTCGATGCATTAAAGAACATGTTACTAAAATCCAAGAAGCAGGCTTTCACATTGTTGCAAGTGTTTGTGATTAGGGAACAACAAACACAACTGCAGTAAAAGAATTAATTCAACGTACCAACGTAAAGCNAAATAAAGAGAACAGAGTAGAGAGTAAGTAATTATAAAGATTTGAAAAAAATGAAAATTTCTTTTTATCTCTGTGTATTTTAATGTTTATTTATTATTTGATAGGTCAAACTTTTGAAGTAAGAGATGCAGAAATCATCCCTTTATATGACCCATCGCATCTTATATAAGGCATCAGAAATAATCTTTTGACTAAAGATTTAGCCTTACATGTGCGAAATAATATTCCAAGAAAATTGGAAGTTGGGATGTTATCAAATGTGCATGGCTTATGGATAAGCATTTAAATATTATTCGTCCACATTTGAAGCACATTACAGCGGAACATATAATAGAAGAAAAAATCAAGAAGATGCGAGTTAAACATGCAGTTCAAGGAGTAAGTGGACGTATGGCTAGTGTTATAGAAACATTTGCAAGAACAAAAAGTATTTTTATTAGTAAAAAAAATACCTACCGAAGGTTTCATACAAACATAATTATAATTATAATTATATCATGTGTTATAGTATCTATATCAATAGACAATGAAAACATTAGCATCGACGAAGAAGAAGGACTCGCAACGATAAAAGCGGTATACTTTTTTAATCAGTTATTTGATTCGGTGAACAAAGATGACAAAAGACATAATGATAATGAACTGCGATGTCCAGTGACAGAGAAAATACTGAACATCATGCGTTCTGGGTGAGTGCGAGTAATACATTATACAGAATGTCGTTTGATGATAATGTTTCGCGCAGTGTTATAAAATCGGTGCCATCCTTAGCTAACTGGATATTTACAGTAGACGGTTTTCAAAAATTATGGAAAGTCCTTCATAAGAAATTTGACTTTCGTTCTTTAAATACGCGTAATTGCTACCAGCAAACAAATTTAATGCAAAACAACTTTGAATTAACGGTACTTAAAACTTCTTTGATACATCTCATCCTGTAATTGGTTGCAATCATTTGTTGTCCCGTGGGATCTTTCGGATGCCGCGAGGAGGGACGTCGGGAAGATACCAGAATTTTGTTAATAGAACAGTAGATTATTGTGTTGTCGAAATTACACTTTTATTGGTCAACTCGTGTTTACACTTTAATTCACCTTTGACTTNCCTCGTGTCGGATTCCAGTAGCCCCGATAACCTTACAATAAGCATTTTAAACCGATCGATAACTCAAACGAGAATTACATAAACAAACATATAACTCTAAAACATATAATTAAACATACTGTTTAACCTTATACAAGCACCTTATAACACATTTCTTACTTTATTGAATTTTCGTCTAAAACCTGAAGTCATCTTCACCATTGTTATTTTATAATTTTATTAATTTTTGAGGTGCAGCCGCGCCAAGTTGTTTTGCAGTAAATATTTTTTATTTTTAAAAAACTTTTTTTGTTACATCTCTGTGTTCTAGTAATAATAAATGTTCTTGTAAATAATCACGGAAAATAAAGTTTTTGCTGGGTCTACTTCTACTGTTAGTTTCATCTACTGTTAGTTTCACTACAAATTGTTTTGCTGATGATGATGTAACAAAAATTTAGTAGGTCTAGCAATTTCTTTCTTTTTGCTAAGTTAAGGTAGTCTTACTATTGACACAATTATGTTATTGTATATTGATTTTCTATTGTATATAGATTTTCATAAATGTACAAAATAATGTACGAAAGTTTACTTGGTGCTACTTTTTGATATCACTTTTTTTGTAAAACAGGTTTTTAGAGAAAGAATGTTTAGTGGTATATAATTTTGTAAAACAAGTTTTATAGAGAAACAATTTTTTGTATTATTACTAATGTATTATTATAATACAACACGTGTTGTGCGTGTACTTGGCGCCTGCTCTTACCTTTTTTTAGAACAGGTAAGTTTTTCGAGATATCACACATTTTTTTGTATATACGTTGTAGTTTTATATATAAAATTTTGTTAAGCATGTTTTATAGAGAAATAAGTTTTTGTAGTATGTAATAAAAACAATAACGTGCAAAATTTACTTGGTGCTACTTTGTGATATCACTTCTTTTTTAAAACAGGTTTTTAGAAAAAGAATGTAGTATATAAATTTTGTAAAATAAGTTTAAAACATTCAAAACAAACATAAAAAACATTCATTTTAAAACATTTTCCGTTTTGTTTAAATTTTTTTATTTTCTCTAAGAAAAGAAAAAATATAAACATTTGTAGCACCTTTAGGCCAGTGATGTTTTCTAATTTGCATATCATCAATTTCAAGCCAACTAGATTTTTCTTCTCTACACATACTTGTATAATGATTCTTTTTAATACACAGTCCATTAATAAATATAGCATTCCTTACTTTATATAGATGTCCACTTACTGACACTTTAGTCGTTAGTACAGCACGTATATTAAATTTGTTTGCTGGTATTACTTTACCATCTTCTGAAAATAATAGAAAATGAATAATAAGTAATTCTTTTGTCAACGTTAATTCTTTTTTAAATATCATATCCTTCCTTTTACAAGTTTTACATAAATCGTTAATTGATTCACACCAATGAGGAAAGGTATCATTTAATAAATCGTTAAGATCATAACTCTTTTTCTCTAAATTAATGACAGGAATTAAGATTAAAATATTATTCGATATAACTGTATTTGTATATTCACAAGTTTTGCATTGTGTAGTGGAAGTTACTTGATGCTCAATTACATTTCTTATAAAATCAAATTTTGCGCAAAGAGCCAAAAGAAATTCAGATGCATCACGTTTTACATTATTATTCAAAAAGTTATCGCTTAGATATTGTCGTATTTTATATGTATTTAAGTTAGGCATTCCATTTTCATATTGATGCATTAATACAAATAAAATTTTTTCTTTATCATAATTAAATATTTGTTTTCTAATGATACTTAAATGCAAAAGACATTGCAATATTGCATTTGCATAGGATGAAACTTTATCTGTGTTTTGGAAACCACGAATAATCCAACCAGTACTTTTCTGAATATTTTGATGTGGTTCTTGTGGTTCTTGTACAGAAGCAATTACTTTTGATGAAGTCTATGAATTATTATCTTTAACCTTACAAATCTTTTGTTTTGAAACAAGAATCATTTGTGCTTCAGTTTTATGTATTTTTTTTAACCTATTGTACTCAATAATAGCTTCTTCACTAGCTTTTACAGATAAAGGATCATAATTAATTACATGTAATCCTTCTAAAGACGTTACTCGAGACAATGCAACATAAATTTGACCAGGACTGAATACAGAATTACCTACATCCATAATAGCGTTCTGCAAACTCAATCCTTGGCTTTTGTGGATAGTGATTCCATAACTCAGACACAATGGAAATTGTTTTCTAATGACATATATTTTTTCCATGACGGAAGATTTGACACATACTCTTTCAAGTAAAAATTCTTCACCTGACGGCAAAAGAAGATTTATTTTTTCTATATTATTATTCCATATATCTTTAACAACAGAAATTACTTTACCTATTGTACCGTTTACAAGGCCTTTGCTAGCATCAATGTTACGTCTTATCATAACTTTTGCTCCAATTTTAATAATAAGTTTTTTCAAAAGTCCGGCTGTTCTTGAGGTATCATCTTCATGACTTGACAATGTTTTTACAACTTTCTTTTCTACGAAGCGATTACAATTTATTTTATCTTCTGCAATTAATACTATTTTTTCAGCAGCAATTCGATTTAGCATTGCCGCATTAAGAACGTCACACATGTGACAAGTAGGCAGTAAACATACGGTATCTGTCGGAAAATCACTAATAAAATTACACAATTCGTTCAATCTAGATTCCGTAGATAGACCTTTAAAAGGTAGTATTCTAGTTCGAAGAATTTTACAATCAGACTGAGTCACTAATCCAATACGAATTCTCGATAGTACCTCACGATAAGATTCATCTCCTTGCTGCCGCATATTGATTATTAATTCATCGTAGTCAAACACTGTACCCAGTCAGAAATACCTTGTCGGCTCGACGTCGATTCGACGTCGATTATACTAGTCGATCGACGGTTGAAATTTGTAGTCGATTCGACTTAAAAATGGACACGAATTTCGACCAATTATTGACAAGTCGATTTGATATCAATATTATGTGCTATATATTCAGAATGCGACAAAAAAGAATTTAAAACAGTGGACCTATCTTCATAATTATTAGTATATCAATTAATAAGGTCAATATCGAGCAAAAAACGTGATGACAGTATGAAATTATATTTAAACGTAATACATTAAATAATAAAAATATGCAAGTGCGAAACGTTTCGACATTCACTGATGTCCT